TGGCCTGTGGGAGCTGCGTGTGCGAGCCCCGTGCCCTCAGCTCACGAGTGGGATTAAAAAAACCCATAAAACTAACATAAATATAAATCGCGGACCCCAGAGCTTCCTTGTGAGACTTGTGACTCTCCCCTGCCTCTCCTCTGAGCTGCTCGTAGGCAGTTGCCTCTCTCCGCTCACACAGACCTCCAGCGCTTTCGGTTGTCTGCTTGGGTAGTAAGTGTGCGAGCCCCGTGCCCTCAGCTCACGAGTGGGATTAAAAAAACCCATAAAACTAACATAAATATAAATCGCGGACCCCAGAGCTTCCTTGTGAGACTTGTGACTCTCCCCTGCCTCTCCTCTGAGCTGCTCGTAGGCAGTTGCCTCTCTCCGCTCACACAGACCTCCAGCGCTTTCGGTTGTCTGCTTGGGTAGTAAAACCGAGCAGGATTCACAACACGATGTCTATATCTAGCCAGAACTTTGCTGCGACTCTTGCTTGGACCTGAGCATTTGTGTGCCCAGAGCCCTCTCTGTTCTACAAGATCAACTGAGCAACCTGAAAAAGCAAATGTCATTCCTTAGGAAAGCAAAAAAAAAAAAAAATGCTCTCAGGATACACTGGGTCAAACCAGAGTGGTCTCCGTGGATGGGAAATGCTACTGAGGGTACTTCATGCTATTTCTGTGCTATTTCTTCCTATCCCCCTGTATTTTCCTTTTTCGTTTATTGTTCCCAACGGTCTGAGGAGTAAGAGGAGGGTATTTATGGCTTTTGTGGGATGGAGGGGGTGTTTGAAGGATGAGTATCATGAAGAAGATCAAGCACCAACAGTAATTACCAGAGAAAGACTGCAACCCAGGCAAGCATGAGCGCTCCCCCATGCTAAGGACCTCACTGCATTAGAAACAGTGTTGTAGAGTTTAGTAACCCCCGATGGATTATTTTTTGATGAGTTTGTCCAGTCATATTTTGGATTTAGGAACAATACATGACTGTTCACCTCTCAGAAGCTGTGAGTGTGCATAGAAAACTCACTCTTTAAGAGAGAAGGAAGCACAGCCTTTACTTACAGGTTTATACAAAAAAACAGTAGTACTTTGGTTAACAACCATCTCTTTTTTTGACCTTTTTTCTTTCTTTTTTCCATTTTCTTTTTTTTTCCTACTTACAACTCTGAACAATTTTGTCACTGAAACTCTCGATCCTCTGTTCAGCAATCCCATTCCTCTTTCTGTTGTTAGTTATTAGCAAGGAGAGCCTGCAGAGGCTCTTGGGAAGCCTGATCTGCAGGCATGGAGGAGGACACGGCTGCTTTTCTGGGCAGATGCCACACAGGACCAATAAACATGCGGGGACCTCAAACCCTCCCATGGTAATTACAGCTGTACTTGCTTTGTGCAAGTCCTTCCTGGAGCTTACTCAGGTCTGCCATATCCGGTAGAGGTAGGTCAACATTATAGAAACAAATCAGCACATGAACCCTCACCTTCCACTCCTCCCAAAGTTATTTTTATCTTTCCAGTTAAGCCCAGTTTCTACCATACAACTTTACATTAAGTGTGATGTTGATGTGGTTCGCTTTCCATAGATTTTAGATGCAATACAAAGAAGAGAGCATTAATTATCTTTTTAGATTATAGCTTTTCCAAACAAGCCAAACGTCCTTCTGTTGGCAGAGCTTCCTGCAATCACTCAGGCAAACAAGTGGCCACTCTTTACCTTGTACCCACATTCCTCACTGATGGCAGCAGAGATGGCATCATGGCATCGGCCGTGATCATCGTGTCCACGGATCTCAAAGATTTCTTCAAGGCCAAACAAGCAGGTTGGGGAAGAAGGCATTGAATTTCTTTTGTCAAAAATGTCATCTTAAAGAGTAGCCAGCAAGATGCAAGCTACAATCAGTTCAGTTTTCACTGAGAGCGTTTGACAGTTGTGAATGGGAAGAAAGCAGAACTGGCAGGGAAAACACACACTTGGAGACATACAGTCATGCTCATCTGAGCCCTTGGTGCTCAGACAGCATGGCCAAAAGGTTAGAGATTTGTGATTTCCTGAAGAAGCCGCTTCCTCTTCCACCCTGCTGCGTGGGCAGCAAGACAGACTCTGTGACTGCCCCAGGCCTTGGTCTTTTTATAGCTTGGGCCAAGATGCAGCTGAAAGCGTAAGGACCCAGACTGAGTCTCCCAGGCTGAGTCGCACCCATGCATGTGGGCTTTCCTGCCCATATTCTGCCCTTTGCTGCTTTCCCTCATTTTCACTCATTCTTCTGCATTCACTGCATCTTTGTAGCACTCCAATTTCAGCCTGCGTGGCATGGAAACAATCATCTTCTTTGCTTAAGAGACAAGCAGAGAGTATCGGTCAGTTTGATGGGTGCTTGTTTCAAAATATGGCCTGTCTGCTCACAGCGATGTTTCTGAGAGGAGCCTGAGTAAGCGTTGTAAAAGAGAAGTTTGAGAGACAACAAGAAGATAGTGACGATGCAGCCCTTTAACCTGGACTACACGGAGAGTTTTGATGGGTAACGAAGGGTGATATGCAGAGGAGTCCTGCCTAGGTAGTAAATGAGCTTGGCGAGCAAAGGGTGAGATAAGAAAGTAGTGATCTAAGAGAAATGGCCTCTGCAAGAGCAATGTGCCTGCATGGGAGAGAAATGGAGCTTGTAAGTCTGGGGAAGAGAATGTGTTAGTAGTTCAGATAAGACACTCAGGATGTCAGACAACATCTTCCCATGTAGCCCTCTTATCGGGTTCACCAAATCTATGAACTTTGAAATATCTGAAAAGAATTCTTTCCTGGCGCAGTTATCTGACTAAAAAGCCTTACTCCTTTTTTTGCTGCTCCCTTTATTGGCCTCTACCTACAGCTGTCTCTATCCTAATCTCTTTGATGTTTGTGGAAAAGAATATCCTTTCCCGGATGCCTGGAAAGTGCCTAGTAAATCACAGCCATAACCTTATATACATAAAATTCTAATCATGACTGCATATATATGTATATGTATATTTTTACTCTTATCCGAAAATGACTAATAAAAGTTTATTAATATAAGTAATTTTTAAGCTGGCACAGAAGTTGACACCATCAGTCTTTTATACATGAAGAAGTAAAGATAAAATATCCTGAGATCACACACATGATTTACCTTGGACCAGCCAAGACCGTCCTAACAGGCAGTTCTGAAGCTTGAGGCTGCCATGCAAAGACACTGAAGCAGCTTCAGCAAGAATTATCGGAGAGCCACCGATGCTGACTATTTTTCCGGTGTGGTAGTTTTACTTTCAATGCTGTTTTCTTTTTAGTGGTTGGCTGTTGACAGTCACCTCAGCTTCGCTTCACTGCTTGCCACATGCACTTCCTTCTCTCCGTATTTACACTTCTTTTTTTCCTCTTCAAGCCCATTCCTCATCAGTTCTCTCTCTCTTTTGTTTGTCCCACCAGCCTATGCTGGTAGCAAATGCCACTCGCAGATTTAACAGCAGTTCTACAAGCCATTGCAGAGCTTCTCCCCAAGTCTTTCCTTTCTCTCTACTTCGACGGTCTTGGAGACAATCTTACACCGTGTCTCTCTGCTGAGTCCTGGCTGGGACCTCTAGGCACCATTGTAATACACAGTGAGACTGAGTAAAATCAAGATCTCAGCTCGCTGAAGCTGAAGGAACAATATGAAGTAACTTTTCTTCATCCATCTTCTTACTTTCTGCCCTACCTCTCTGAGATGAAGTTATAAAAAATGTTGGTATTTTCAGTAACAGACTTTAATATCAGGTGAGACCTCTACTCTATCTAGGTTTACTTCAGCTGTTTTTGTGGCAGAACTCAAATTCTTTTTCACAAAAAGGGCATAAGTAGAATTCTAAATATTCTAATTTTATTATACTATTTTTTCCCAAATCACTCATTTATGAACTTAAAGCAAAAAAAAAGTAAGTGGCAGAGAAAGTGGATTTCTCTGTCAGACTTGTATTTCTTTTGCAAAACAACATAGGAAGACTGGGAAAAGAATGGTTCATTTCATTTATTCTGATGTTTTCTTTTTTTTTTTTAGCAAAAAGAACCAGTTGTTTGCACAGCAGTTGTGTAAATGATGCTAACAAGTTCGATTTTTATTCAACATTATTTTGAACACCAGACCACAGCTATCTCAATCTAGAGTACCCTACATAACTTGACTGCAAAATGATGAAAGGTAATAGAAGATGATGCCAAAAATGTCTGGATCAAGGCCATTGCGTTAAAAATATATAGCAGACATCAGCGTTTGCTTGCGCTGTGCTGGTGCACATATTAGTATTGCTGTTGCATGCTGGAGAAAATACATCAAATATGTTATATGACCATTTATTTCCCTTGGCATTTATAAATAGTCCTGCTGTGCCAGAGGCCAATCTGGAACAGAGTCCCGTTATGCTGCGGACTGTACGGACGCAGGACACGGTGTACGTTGTGCTCTGGAGAACAGCCCGAATAGAGCTGGGGTAGCGGTGAGCTGTGTCTGGAGCTGGTCACAGGGTAGCTGTGCTGCCGTGGCCTGGCCCCCACGTTCATTTTGTGCTGCACTAACTCTAGGATCCAGATTGGTTTCTTGGAACCGCTGCAGACACTTGGAATAAGACAATACTCCTTTTTTTTTTCATGCTTTATCCCTTTGGTACTGTATGTATATAAGCAGTTTGTAAATTCTTTGGGGTCGAATCTAAACAGATGAACTGGATTCCCAGTGGGGGAAAGGGATTTGTATACTGAAATTCATGTGCCTAATCTAACATATGTTTTCTTATCTTTTATTGAATCTGGACTGTTTCTTACATGTTTCAGATACTGTGTGTTAGCTGTTCTCACAAATATCTTATGTTCGACTGTGTTCAGATTAAATTGTGAGTTCTCGTCACACACTCTGTCCTTTCACAGACAGTAATAGCACTTCTGTCATACGCTACGTGAATTGCTGTTGACGTTTTTTTCTTAGTTTTTGACATTTCCGGAAATGTCACACAAGCCTTTCGCTTTGTTAATACAATCCAAAGAAGTAACTCCAATTTGAAATAAGCTGTGTGACAAAGTGTGACCTAATTCAGCCTGCGAGCTACACTGTGAGGCATAATGCTTAGGTGAGCACCTAGAATATGTTAATAACACAGGTGTTAAGACTGCTTTTGTTCTTTCCTTACTGTTAACTAAAGCAGCTTAGATCTTACTGTGACAATGCAGATCTAGATGGCAAGCAGAAGTACATATCCTATCTGTAACTGTAATGCTGGTCCCAGCAGTGGCATAAGAATCACTATATTAGCATTATTTTACTGCAGTATTTCTAGTGCGCTTATCTAGCGCACAGATGCTAGATAAGCATCTGTAGTTACCTAGCCAGGTTGAATGGCATCAAGAGATAGGAAAGGATCCCAGTCTGTATGCATGTCACATCACAAAAGAAAATCTGATCTTTCCCTCCAGTCTCGTCATTAGACACGTAAAGCTGCTCTTAGCAGCTGTTTCATTACCTTTGGATTTAGCTCTTGAGGACTAAGCAGAAGGATCTGCTTCTTGACGCCTAGAAGAAAATTCTTCCACTGAAAGCTCTTTCAAAAATAAGTTTTTTACACATAAATCATAGAATCACAGAATGCTTAAGGTTGGAAGGGACCTCTAGAGATCATCTAGTCCACCCCCCTGCACACGCAGGGTCACCTAGAGCACGTGGCACAGGACTGCGTCCAAGCGGGTTTGGAAGATCTCCAGAGAAGGAGACTCCACAACCTCTCTGGGCAGCCTGTTCCAGTGCTCTGGCACCCTCACTGTTAAGAAAATTTTCCTTAAGTTCCTGTGGAACCTTTGGCCTTCAGTTTGTGGCCATTACCTCTAGTTCTGTCGGTGGCCACCAGTGAGAAGAGGCCAGCACCATCCTCCTCACTGCCTCCCTTGAGGTACTTCTAGACACTGCTCAGGTCCCCTCTCAGCCTTCTCTTCTCCAGGCTGAACAGGCCCAGCTCCCTCAGCCTTAAAACTATACACTTTACTCTATAAAACATTATAATCAATTCACAAGAAAACTGAGTGTAGGCTAAGATATTTGTAAAAAGAATTCAAATAATTTTGAAAAAATATCTAATCATAGAATCACCAA